TGTTTGTGTCATGTCGTTCTTTGAACCCTCCAACTTTCAGTCCACCCTCCAAAGCATCCATTTCCTCCAGGGGAACTGATCTCTGTAGTCTGGAGATGAGCCGCAATTGCAGGGGATCCCCAGGTCCCACCTGGAGGCTGGCATCTCTAAGCTGAGTCCTGATTTGCCTGGTGTGCGTGGGAAGTGACGTCACTTCTGACTTATGGAGATCATCTGAATTAATGACCTTCCAAATTCCCAATGGCTAAGAGCCTTGCTCAGGTCTTGAAAACCGAGGGCCATGGCTTCCTTGACTGAGTCAACCCATCTCACGCTGGGTCTTCCTCTTTTCCTGCTGCCTTCAGCTTCTCCTGGCGTGATTGTCTTTTCCAGGGAGTCTCTTGTCTTCTCGTAATGTGGCCAAAGTACGACAGCCACAGTTGAATCAGTTTAGCTTCTAGGGAGAGTTCAGGCTTGAACTGGTTTGCCTTAAACTTCATGTACTTCGTTAAGTCTGAGAAATGTTAAATTTGATTTTTACCGTGTGCATTTTTTAAAAAATGTGTTTACTGGGCCAGTTCACATTTGTATTTACCTTTGAAGTTCTGGCCCGATTTAACAAGTTAGGTCTTATTTCGGGTGAAAGTTGTCAGCTCACAGAAAGTATTCTGCTGGTCATGATCAAACGCTTAGATTCACCCTACCCCATTGAGCTGTAGAAGACAAATCTCTCTTTGTGGTTCTTTTACCCAACATAGATCCAATGAGGTCGCTGCTGCTGCTCAGCTAAAGAGAACAATTCTCACAAAGCTGAGCAGTACAGACCCTTAATTGGGCACAAATTAGTTCGTTCACCACAGCAGCATGTCTTCTTCTCCCCCCCCCCCAGGACACAAGGAAGAAATGGCAATGTGGAGGTCAGGAGTTTTGCTCAAGATGAGCTTGTGGAACAAAGGCTGACTCCCACATGCAGTTCCTGTCGACCCCAGCTGCCCCTCCAGATCTTCAAACTCCAGGAAATCTCACAGCTGAGAAGAGTCAAAGAGAAGTTAGTCTTTGAGAACACTTCTAAAGAGACAGGTCAGAGGAAGGAAGCCTGGAGAGGAGATGACTGAGAGGTGATACAATAACCATCTTCGAGTACTTGAAGGGCTGACATGGAGAGGATGGGGTTGTTGTCTGTTGCCCCAGGAGGTCAGACCAGAACCAACAGGTTGAAATTAAATCAAAAAAAGTTCTGGGCTAAACATTAGGAAGAACTTCCTGAAAGCGATGGCAAACCTTGACAGCACAATAAAAAGTAGAGACATCACCCGGCCAACAAAAGTAGTAATGTACAGTTGTGAGAGTTGGACTATAAGGAAGGCCTAGCACCAAAGAATAGATGCTTTCGAATTATGGTGCTGGAGAAGACTCTTGAGAGTCCCTTGGACTGCAAGGAGATCAAATCAGTCAATCCTAAAAGAAATCAACCCTGACTGTTCCCTGGAAGGCCAGATAATGAAACTGAAGCTCAAATACTTTGGCCCCCAAATGAGAAGGGAGCACTCACTGGAGAAGACCCTGATGCTGGGAATGATTGAAGATAAAAAAAGAAGGGGATGGCAAAGGATGAGATGGTCAGACAATCTTATCAAGGCAACAAACATTAAGCAAACTCCGGAGCATGATGGAAGACAGGAGGGCCTGGTGTGATGTGGTCTATAGGGTTGCGAAGAGTCGGACTCAACTCTGCAACTGAACAACAACAACACTTGGAGAAGAAGAGATTGGATTTATACCCCGCCCTTCACTACCTGAAGGAGTCTAAGAGCAGTGTATAATCCCTTTCCATTCCCGTCCCCACAACAGACACACTGTGAGGTAGCTGGGGCTGAGAGAGCTCTCTCAAGAACTGCTCCTGAGAGAACAGCTCTGAGAGAACTTGTGACTGACCCAAGGTCACACCAGCAGCTGCATGTGGAGGAGGGGGAAACCAAACATGGTTCTCCTAGATTAGAGTCCTCCACTCTTAACTACTACACCAAACTGGAGCTGTTCCTGTTGGCAGCAGAGGATAGGACTCGCAAGGATGGGTATAAAGTAAGGGCGGGAAGGCACTGGCTGGATATTAGGAGAAACGTTTTGACAGTAAGAGTTGTGCAACAGTGGAACCACCTGCTTAGGGAGGTGGTGAGCTGGACAAACACTTGACAGGGATACTCTAGGCTGATCCAGCATCAAGCAGGGGGTCGGACTAGATGGCCTGCATGGCCCCTTCAAACTCTGTGATTCTATCAGACCAGTGTAGAACACTCTTGTCTGGGGCAGTGATGCTCTGTATACTTGTTGCTATGGGGGGCAACAGCGGGAGAGCTTCTGGAGTTCTGTCCCCACTGGTGGACCGCCTGATGACGCTTGGGTTTTGGCCACTGTGTGAGATAGAGTGCTGGACTGGATGGGCCATTGGCTTCTCTGATGTTCCTTAGAATTAAAGCACGAGCACAGAAATGGTCAGTTTGCAGGATCTGGGCAAGGCTGTTAAGAATAGGAAATGTTGGCCTGTTAAGGATAGGAAATGGTCATGAATCCATAGAGAGCCAGTTTGGTATAGTGGTTAAGTGTGCGGACTCTAATCTGGGAGAACCAGGTTTGATTCCCCACTCCTTCACGTGCAGCTGCTGGTGTGAACTTGGGTCAGTCACAAGTTCTGTAGTGGTTAGGAGCGCGGACTCTAATCTGGGAGAAGCGGATTTGATCCCCCACTCCACCACATGCAGCTGCTGGTATGACCTCGGGTCAGTCACAAGTTCTCTTTGAGCTGTTCTCTCAAGGGCCGTTCCCGAGAGAGCTCTCTCAGCTCCACCTGCCTCTGTTGTGGGGAGGGGAAGGGAAAGGAGTTTGTAAGCCACTCTGAGACTCCCTTGGGTAGTGAAGGGCGGTGTATAAATTCAATCTCTTCTCTTCTTCTTCATAGGGTTGCCATAATCTGGAAGTGACATGACAGCACTTAACACACCCGCACAGCCAGAAGAGAAAGGAGCCCCCGGTCACAGGAGTGTTAGGGCTTGGAAAAATCCTGAAGATTTGGGGATGCAGCCTGGGGAGAGCAGATCTCTGATCTCTGTAGTCTGGAGGTTAGTTGTAGTGCCAGGTCCCACCAGGAGGTTGGCAACCCTAGGGAAGGGCTGTGATGGAGGAGGAGGAGGAGGAGAAGAAGAAGAAGAAAAGATTGGATTGATTCCCCATCCTTCACTACCCAAAGGAGTCTCAGAGGGGCTTACAAACTCCTTTCCCTTCCCCTCCCCACAACAGGCACCCTGTGAGGTAGGCGGGGCAAAGAGAGAGCTCTTTTGAGAACTGCTCTTGAGAGAACAGCTCTGAAAGAATTTATGAATGACCCAAGGTCACACCAGCAGCTGTATGTGGAGGAGCGGTGGAAGAGACTCGGTGTCATTTCCTCCAGGGGAAGGTTATTTCTGTAGTCTGGAGATCACTCATAATTCCAAAGCACTCCTGCGTGTTGGCAAATCTAAGTGGATGGGAACACCCTCAGCTCTGAGCTCTTTCCTTCATTTGTGCCCATCCTTACCTCTAATAGCCCAGGGCTGGCCATTGGACAGATCAAGTCATCTGTAATACATGCGGATGCCAGCCTCCAGGGATCCCCCAGAACTACAGCTCATCTCCGGACTGCAGAGATCACTTCCCCTGGAGGAAAGGGATGCTTTGGAGGGTGGACCCTATGGTATTGTGCCCCACTGAGGTCGTTGTCCTCCCCAGGGTCCCCCCCCCCAAATCTCCAGACGTTTCCCAACCTGGAACTGGCAACCCAGCCCCCCTCACCCACACCAGCTGCCAGGGAGGCCCCAACAACTGTAGTGACGTGTAGCTAACCCCGAATGCAGATTTAGGATTCTGAATGGCTAACTAAATTGTGGGCTTCTTTGCTAGTAGATGTAGTAATGGTCCTTAGCTTAAAGGTAAAGGTTCCCTTGCTCGAAAGCCAGTCGAATCTGACTCTAGGGTTGCGGTGCTCATCTCTGTTTCAAAGCCGAAGAGCCAGCGCTGTCCGAAGACATTTCCGTGGTCATGCTGCCAGCACGACTAGACGCCGAGGCGCACGGAACGCTGTTACCTTCCCACTGAAGTGGTACCTATTTATCTACTTGCAATTTCTTGCTTCCAAACTGCTAGGTTGGCAGGAGCTGGAACTAGAGACGGGAGCTCACTGTCATGTGGCACTCGGGTCTTGAACTGCTGAACTACCGACCTTCCACAGCCTGCAGTTCAGTGTCTTAACCACTTGAGCCACCGCAGCTCCTTAGCTTAAATAGCTTTAAAAAGGGGAATTGACAGATTCATGAACAGGCCCATTGATGGCTATTAGCCACAGTGGCTAAAGGGAGCCTCCCCGGGGAGGAGAAACAGCCCCAGAGAACAATACGGGGTGGGGAGCCTTGGGCCGCTCTGCCCTGTTTTCTGCCCTCCTCGCAGTGGTTTGCCACTGTGTCAGACTGACCAATCTTTGTTGAAATCTTGCAAGAGTGTCGTTGCCGAGGCAACTGTTCACAGTGTGTGTGGGGGGGAATCAACTTTAGAGTCAGTCTCTCCTAAGAGTTCTGAGACCCGCGGGGCACCTTATGCTAGAGGGGGGGTGGAAATCATTGAGTAAAGGCAGATGCTCAAGGAAAATGCTGTTGACTGCTTACTGAGAGAACCATTTCAGTGTAGTGGTTAGGAGGGTGGGCTCTAATCTGGGAGAACCAGGCTTGATTTCCCACTCCTCCGCATGCAGCTGCTGGGTGACCTTGGGCCAGTCACAAGTTCTTTCGCAGCTGTTCTCTCACAAGAAGAGCGGCGCAGGCAGTTAAACGCCTGCTCTGTAACACCATCCGAACAGCCACTATGGCTGTTCGAGTACCACCGCGGTCGAGGTGAGCTCTCGATCTTCGTCCCAGCCCCAGCCTACCCAGCAGTTCGAAAGCAACCTAATTGCAAGTAGATAAATGGGTACCCACCCTTAGAGGGGTGGGGGGCACCCTGAATGGTCGATTGAAGACGGCGGCGGCAGCGGCGGCGGTGATGACGGCGGCGGTGAGCATCGATTCGGTGTGGACGGCGTGGCGGCGTGGCGTGGCGGCGGCAGGCGGGCGCAAGCGGAGGAACGCAGCCGAGCGATCCCTGGTGGCCAAGCAAGAGTACACAGAGTGCTGTCGTCGAGAGGAAGGTGGCGTGTGAGGACGCCGAGCACCGGCTCAAGAGGAGCCGGAAAGGACGTTGCTGGGCCGGAAGCAGGCGGAGCCGCGCGCCTTAGAAAGAAGACAGCCACTTCCGGAAACGCCGGGAAAAGAACACCCGCCAGTCCAGAGACCCGAGCCGAGCCGACAGTAACAGCAACAACAGCTACAACCACCACCATAGGGGGTGCCGGTAGGTTGCCCCATCCCCATATACATACTGTGGCCCTAGTTAGGGAAAAACAGTGATTAGCACCAAAAATCTGTAAGCCGCTCAGAGACCCCTAGACAAGGGGTTCGAGCGGGATATCAAATCGAATGTATAAATAAATAAATAAAGAGAGCTCTCTCAGCCCCACCTGCCTCACAGGGTGTCTGTTGTGGGGAGAGGAGGGGAAGAAGGTTGTAAGCTGCTCTGAGACTCCTTCAGGTAGTGAAGGATGGGGTATTAATCCAATCTCCTCCTCTTCTTCCTTCAGTAAGGAGATGCTTCTGACTGGTTACCGATGGTGCCATAGAATTCACCCTCCAAAGCATCCTGTTCGGTGAAGTGGTTAAGAGCAGCAGACTTTAATATGGGGAACCAGGTTTGTTTCTCCACTCCCTCCACATGCAGCCAGCTGGGTGACCTTGGGTCCGTTACAGTTCTCTCTGAGCTGTTCTCTCAAGAGCCGTTCCTGTCAGAGCTCTCTCAGCCCCACCTACCTCACAGGGTATCTACTGTGAGGGAGAGGAAGGGAAGGAGATTGTAAGCCACTCTGAGACGCCAAGTGAAGGGTGGGGTATAAATCCAATCTCTTCTTCTTCTGGGATGGGTGGGGAAGAAATGCATTCATCTGGCGCCTTTCCAAAAATGCAAATCCATTGTTCCCCTCCCCCCCCCCAATCAAGTCACAGCTGACTTATGGTGACCAGTGTTCCCTCTAAGCTGAGTTAGTGTGAGCTAGCTCACAGTTTTTTAGCCTCTGGCTCACACGCTTTCATCTTGGCTCAGGAGGGAAGGCTCCAGAGCAAACTGATTTATGCTGTAGCCAAATGGCTCGCTCACAACTTTACTGCCAGTAGCCACAAAGCAGAATTTTTGCTCACGAGACTCCACAGCTTAGAGGGACCCTGTGGGGTTTTCAAGGCAAGAGACAAACAGGTTGGTTTGCCGTTGCCTTCCATGCAGAGCAACCCCAGTCTTCCTCGGTGGTCCATCCAAGTAGCAACCAGGGCCGACTGTGTTTCGCTTCTGAGATCTAAGGAGCCTTGCCCAGCCTGGCCTATCCAATGCTTTCATGCAGGGCTTTTTGTGTAGAAAAAGCCCAGCAGGGACTCATTAGCATAATTGGCCACACCCAACAGCAGAAACATATTAGCATATTAGGCCACACCCCTGACAGCACAGCTCATTAGCCTATGAGGCCACTCACCTGTGTTACCAGAAGTGTGATCATCCAGCCACACCCACCTTTTGCTTCTTACTCTGTTTACCTTGTTTGTGGTCAAAACCCAGGGCCTTTTTTTGTAGCAGGAACTCCTTTGCATGTTGGGCCACACACCCCTAATGTAGCCAATCCTAATGAGTTCCTGCTGTTGGGTGTGGCGTATTATGTCAATGAGTTCCTACTGGGCGTGCTCAACTCAGGAGCCAGCCGGAACTCCGTTCCTGTGCGTTCCTGCCCCAAAATAGTCCTGCTTTCATGCAGTGTTCCCTCTTAGCAGAGTTAGTGTGAGCTAGCTCACAGTTTTTTAGCCTCCAAGTCACACATTCTTGTTTTAGCTCTGGAAGGATGGCTCTAGAGCACACTGATTTATGCAGTAGCCAGTTCACTTGCCCACGACTTTAATGCCGGCAGCTCACAAAGTTGAATTTTTGCTCACAGGACTCCCTAGCTTAGGGGGAGCATTGCATTCATGCTACGTTTCTTCCATTCTGCAGCTCAAGGCAACCTGCCTCAGAATCCCAGAGCATCTCTCCCAGTCAGGTACTAACCTAACCTCTAGCTCCAAGGTTTCTCTGAGACCTCAGGAAAGAGAGATGAAGAAGAGATGGGATTTATACCCCGCCCTTCACTCGGAGTCTCAGAGCGGCTCACAAACTCCTTTCCCTTTCCCTCCCCACAACAGACACCCTGTGAGGTAGGTGGGGCTGAGAGAGCTCTCCAGAGAACTGCTCTTGAAAGAATAGCTCTGAGAGAACTGTGGCTTGCTCAAGGTCACACCAGCAGCTGCAAGTGGATGAGCGGGGAATCAAACCCGGCTCTCCCAGGTTAGAGTCCGCACACCTAACCACTACACCGAATTGGCTGTCAAGAATAAAGTCCTCAAGAGAATAACTAAGCCAGCATTCTGCTGTCCTATAGGCACTCTTCAGGCCATCCCACTTCTCTTGCTAATAGGAGCTACTCAACCGAAACTCCAACAGTGGTGTTATGGGGGGATTTTTCTAAATTCCTTTTTTTTTAGACATCGCTACCATTGTTCCCGCTAAGCTGTGGAATCTTGTGAGCAAAAATTCTACTTCGTAAGTTACTGGCATTAAAGTTGTGAGCGAGCGATTTGGCTCCTGCATACATTAGTTTGCTCTGGAGCCATCCTCCTGAGCTAAGACAAAAATGTCTGAGCCGGAGGCTAAAAAACCGTGAGCTAGCGCACACTAACTCAGCTTAGAGGGAACACTGATCGCTACTGATTCTTCTTGTTTTTGTTTAAGAGAAGGGTTTCTTCCATTTCGCCTTGAGAAGAAATCAAGGCATATGAACATGTGTCAAGCTGCCTTATACTGAATCAGACCCTGAATCCATCAAGGTTAATATTGTCTGCTCTGGTGGTCAGTGGCTCTCCAGGGTCTCAGGCAGAGGCTTTTGCATCACCTCCTGCAAGATTCTTTAACTTGAACCCGGGACCTTCTGCACCAGCCTGTCGGACTTGATGGGCCATTGGCCTGATCCCACATTGGCTTCTCTGTAAATTCAGTCCTTGCAGCTGTTTTCTGTTACCTGCCACAGGATGTTGTTACACACTACGGGATGGTACCCTAGCAGGGAAACTGGACAGCTTGTTAAGACTCACTATCTCTGAGTGAAATTCTACAGGGGGGAAATTCTGAAAATTTCACAGACCTTCCCCTTCCTGCCCCTCTCTTGTTGAATTTCTCTTTTGATCAAAGTGGAATTGGTTCTGAAACAGATTCCAAATTTAACACCCCACCCCCCAAAAAGGAAGAAGTAGGGGGGGAAAGGACTGCTGGATTTCAGGAAGAAACTGGGTAAAGAGGAGTCAAGAGAATTTCCATTAATACGAATACAGAAACTCTTTAAAAGTTTAACACTGATAAAGAACTAACACCAATATAGAAATTCTTGAAAGGAGCCATTTGTTGCAGCACGCAGAAAAGCTGGAGCTGGCCATTGTTATCAGGCCAACAGCTCTCCAAACCCCAGGGCCCGAGGTATGACCGACTGACTCAAACCTGGATAACACGGAGGGCTGTGTGGTCACACAGTACTGATGCCTTTCTGCCCATGCCTTTGACTGTGAAGGAACAGAAAGCTCTTCCTGCTAATCTTATTTACAGGCAGGAAGTGTTTATCAGGCCTCTAGTCCAGGCCCGCAAACACTTACCAACCGAATGGCAAGGAGATTTTGGAAAACTGAAGAACCAAGTCGCTACAGAGGTTGGCACTTCCCAGCTTAGACATTACGATGGCTCATGGACCCCGCCAGGTTGCCTCCACTACATCTTTCCCATCACTCCACTAACTGGCAGAGAAGAGCTGCACCTGTTGTACCTGAACAGGACTCAGACCAGTCCTTGGAAGCAAATCAAGGAGACTTTTGAATTTGCCATCTGGATCTAAAGCAGAGGAACACCTGGGCCGGATGGTTGTCAGTAGGCTCTTCCAGGGCAGGAAAGCAAAGCATCATGGGCAACCAAGGTACACTTCTCTTTGCTTTCCCTCAAATATGGCAGCTCTTATTGAGATATATGTCAGAGTGTTAGAGGTAGCAAGCAGTTACTGTAGATCAGTTTTATCTGTCTGTCAATCCTAGCTGTCAAGCTAGTAATCATGTAATTGAGGACAGGTGCTTCTAGCAGGTGTTGCTCTTTCAGGTCTTGTTAGAGTTAGAGATTGGATCACCTTGTTAGAGATTGGCTGGGGTGGGGTTAAGCATAATAGCTATCAGCTTGGTATGCTAGAGGGAACTTAGTTCTCATAGACTAAGGCACAGCATGCTGTTCAATGGCCTGTAAATATCTCTGTATATATTCACCTTTATAAACTCTCTGTGTACCTTCATAACTGGCCAGTCTCCAGCTTCTTATTTACAATACCCAATAGCTCTGTGCTCTGAGAGGCACCAGTCGCATCGATCTGGTGGGACACTGGAAAGAAGGGTGCACTGAACCAGATGTCACTTCTTTCGAGACCTCTAAAATATAGTACATCTGAACTTTGAGGTTCAATGAACTCTTTTAATCCTCCTTCAGAGATGACAAAGCACTTCTGTACGGTAATACAGGACAGCAGTGGATGGAACGTTACGATTCATTTCTTTTTTGCTCCCCCAGAACCACAGAGCACAACTTTTGGAACTTGTGTTCAAAGCACCAGAAACGTAACTTTCTTTTAATACCAATCTGATCGCTTATTTTTTTTGTCTCTGGAAGCCCATTCAGCAGAGCCTCATCCGGTGGGCCTCACTGCTCTCCCCCCAAGGTGAGCTTGTCAAACAGGTACTCCCCCATGCTGTTCTGGGGCACCCCCAGGTGTTTCAGGTTGGTGATGTGGTCTACCAGCCTCTTGATGGCCTTCACTTGCTCCTCCAGGTATTCGGACTCCAGGAAGTTACACAGCTGAGAATGAAAAGAAGAAGAAGAAGAGTTAAGCTAAACCCAGACAGATTATGCACTGCAAAACTGCAACTATTGCAGACTTTGACTTAAGCAAGTAAATGAAAAAAGGTAAAGGTAAAGGTTTCCCTTGATTGAAAGCCAGTCGAATCCGACTCTAGGGTTGCGGTGCTCATCTCCGTTTCAAAGCCGAAGAGCCAGCGCTGTCCGAAGACGTTTCCGTGGTCATGTGGCCGGCATGACTAAACACCGAGGCGCACGGAACGCTGTTACCTTCCCACTGAAGTGGTCCCTATTTATCTACTTGCAATTTCTTGCTCTCGAACTGCCAGGTTGGCAGGAGCTGGAACGAGAGATGGGAGCTCACTCCGTCATGCGGCACCCAAGTCTCGAACTGCTGAACTACTGACCTTCCACAGCCTGCAGTTCAGCGTCTTAACCACTTGAGCCACCGCAGCTCCTAAATGAAAAAGACCAGTCCTCAAATAAGCATTGTGTTCCAGTCATTTATGTCGCACGAGCCGGACGACCCCCCTTCGCTGTCACTGGACTCCGAGCTGGGTGGGCTATCCGCCGCCTTGACCCGCCTCCCTTGGGAACTGCAGAGGCCTCAGACACTCAGGAGGGGAGGAGGTTACGTCACCACCACCACCGCTTTCCTGCTCCTGGTCAGGCAGCGCTCTCTCTCCCTCTCTCTCCCTCTCTCCTTTCTGTTGCCAGTTCATCCTCCTCGGCCTCTGCATCTGTTCCTCCTTTTATTCCCATTCTGTGCCACCTCGTCCCCCCTGTGTTCCACTCCACCCCTCCTCACAGCTCCACCCCCCCTTAGGCAAGGACGCTGAGTTGTGGGTGTGGTTTCCCACCGGCCCCCTTCCTCCGGCATCCGATGCTGCTCCAGCCCTGTGCTTCTCCCCCTCCAGAACGCCCTGAGTGTGTGTGTGGGGAGGTGCCCTCGCACCGGGCACACCTTCCCGCTCCCTCCCCCCTTCCCGAGACTTCTCCCCGTGGCAGTGGGCATCTGTCGGTGGCGGCGGTGTTGGGGTGGCCTGTTGATGCTTTTCCAGGAAGTAACCCAGCAATGCAGCACACAATACAAAATGGCAAGTAATAGCAAAACAACTGTGTGCTGAAATGCCCACAATAGTCAATGTACCAAACGAAACTTCAGCAAAGTGAAACACATATGGAAACACAATGGAGGCATTTTTGGTCCTGTTTTACATAGTAGCAACCTTGAGAGGTGCCCTTTCAAGCTTAGGAGACCTGGCCCATAAAGAAACTGAACAATATTGTCTTGTAAAGAAATCGGAATGAGACTTTCTATTGTGGCTCTTTGTTCCTGAGGAAGGAACAGAAGTCTGAAACACTGTATACTACCTAGGAAAAGTGTTGAATTTCTACTTTGGACTTTATGCATTCTGTGGACTTCTATATTTCCTATGATGGGTTTTATGTACAGATTTATATTTGATGTTTTTCCAGGGCTAGGATGGCTTGGTGGCGGCGGGTCTGCCTTTCCTTCTGGTGGGTTCCTTGGGGGCCGGGGCTTGGGGAGTCGGTGTTGGCAGAGTCCCGAGCGGCGGGAGCCATCCCAGGGGAGGCCTGACCTCGGGACTATTTATTTAACCTCAGAGCTGGAAGGAACCATTAGGGTCATCTGGCCATCCCCCTTCCAACACAGGAACTAGGGTTGGAGAAGAGTTTGGATTTATACCCCGCCCTTCACTACCCGAAGGAGTCTCAGAGTGGCTTACAATCTCCTTCCCCTCCCCACAATACACACCCTGTGCAGTAGGTGGGGCTGAGAGAGCTCTTTCGAGGACTGCTCTTGAAAGAACAGCTCTGAAAGAGTTTATGACTGACCCAAGGTCACAGCAGCAGCTGCAGGTGGAGGAGTGGGGAACCAAACTCCCAGATTAGAGTCCAGGCTCCTAACCACTACACCAAACTGGCTCACATGGGGGTCTGCCTTCTCTTCGGTGCCAGGTCCCCCCTGGCTACCGGCGGGGGATGTGTGTGTGGGGGGTAGGGTGGCCAGATCCAGGTTGGGAAACTCTCGGAGATTTAGGGGTGGAGCCTGAGGAGGGCAGGGACCTCAGTGGGGTGCAATGCCATAGAGTCCACCCTCCAAAACATCCATTTTTTCCAAGGGAACTGATCTCTGTAGTCAAACTGTAAACTCTGGGGGGGAGGATCCCCAGAACCCACCTGGAGGTGGCATCCCTAACAGGAACTGCAGCTATAATACTCCTGACTGGTAGGTGTCCAATCAGTACTTAACTCCCAAGTAAAATCTCATAAAAAAGGCTATGTATTCCCATATTTTTTGATACTGCCACAGGAAGTGGTGGCAGCTACAAGCATGGACAGCTTCAAAAGGGAATTAGATAAGCCTATGGAGCAGAGGTCCATCAGTGGCTATTAGCCACAAAGTATAGATAGGGACTCTCGGGCTGGGGCAAGGGATGCTCTGTAATTCTTGGTGCCTGGGGGGGGGCAACAGTGGGAGGGCTTCTAGTGTCCTGGCCCCACTGGTGGACCTCCTGATGGCACCTGGTATTTTTGGCCACTGTGTGACACAGAGTGTTGGACTGGATGGGCCTTTGGCCTGATCCAACATTGGCGTCTCTTATGTGCTTATGATACCACTGATTCTGTGCCTCCAGAATGAAAGCTTTGACCTTGAAAGGCGGTTTGGACAGTCAGTCCTTCTTTCCAAAAATGGAGAGGCAGCCATTGTGCACTGCAGTTTCTGGGCATTCTACTGACTCCCAAGTCTTCTGGATTTTGTGTGTCTTGACTCACGTGGGGGTCTGCCTTCTCTGTGGCTAGTGAGTGGAGGTCCAGGAGAGCTTGGTTCACTTGCTTCTCCAGCTGCAGGGCTTCCTGCATGGCATCCAGGCTGTTGTCCCACTCGTCCTGGTCGGGTTTCTGTGCAAGAAGGAGATTGAGAGGCTAGGGTCAAATCTGGTATTGGTATCTGGTATTGGCATTGGTATATGCCGCTGCTTTAACAATGCTCCTGCTCCGTCTCCAAAAAAGATATCTACAGTCGAATCTGCATTTGCATTTTAAAATCATTTTCATGCTTGTTTGAATGTTGTTTGGAGAAGATTCTTTTAAAGCAGTGCAGAGGTGCAATGACCGTGGAGCCACCCCGAAAGGACGGTAAACATATGTGGACGTGCAAAAGTATGCTAGCACTCTTGAGGGTTGAAAACGACACTAAATGTAGACAGCTTTTTGGACGATGGAGTCAAAAGGCTGGGACACCGGTGGGAAAGACAAATGCAGATTCAGTCTACATCTCTTTCGGATTCGCTCTCCTAATTTCTGCTGTCTACACCGTTTTACTGCCCTATGGTTTCGACTCCGTTGTGATTGCAGTGTCTCATCGGCTCAAGTGGATCTAGTTACAAAGCACTCTAAGCCCCCCTCCCCCCGAAAGTGCCATCTAGTGATGGACTTGAATCGAGCTGATTGGAAGAATTTCTTGAACAAGCATCGCTCCAGCCTAAAGAAAGACGGCGTTGGGACGGCTTTAAAAATGAAGATGTGGACATGACCTAGATGCATCTGCCACTGAGAAGAGCCCGCAGACCTACGAGAACTGTTAAGCCTGCATGTCTTTCGTAATGCGGAAAATCTATTTAGCTCACCTTGATGTCCTCCAGGACAATGCGGCCTCCTCGCTGGTTCTGGTATCTCAGGAACTTATCGGCATGCTCCCTCTCTTCCTGGAACTGTTCCCTGAAGAACTGGGCCACGTGGCTCAAGGCGACATCTTCACGGTCAAAGTGAAGGGCCTGGAAGGGAAGAGTTGGGGGAAGTTGTGTTTAACCCCCGCAGCCCTAGAATTATACGGTAGGCTTCCCAGAAGTTGTTGGATCCAGTCTGCTTTTTCCACTCAGACTGATTTCCCACAGCTGCTGCTCTGCACTCGCTCCTCTCTTTGCCCGGATGGTACGTGTCAATTTCCCAACTCGAAGCCACATGGCCGCATTTTGACCCGCGGCTTTGCCTGATTTTGCCCACGGTTTTGTAATCCTCAAAAAACAGGATCACAAAACCACAGGGGAAATTGGGCGAACCCGCAGGTCAAAATGTGGCCGCGCGGCTTCGAGTGGGAAATTGACACGTACCATCGGGGCAAAGAGAGGAGTGAGCGCAGAGCAGAGGCTGTGGGAAATTGGTCTCAGTCTCACCCAGTTCCTGTAGGGGTTTGGACTCGATGGCCTGTATGGCCCCTTCAAACTCTGATTCTACTGAATTAAATGTAATGACTTGGAAGCACAGAAGCTTTACGCAGTCTCCATGATCCTTCATGTTTCCTGGTGAAAGGGAAAATGCTGTTGAAATGAATTACAATATTACGTAGCATATTCATGTAGGTACATTTAACTTTATTGCGAACAGATTGACTTCAAAAAAGGTTAACTTGCTACAGCTCCAAGCCCAGGTAAAAGAGTCTTTATTTTGGTTCATCAGAATATTTTTAATAATTTTATAAAGCTTCTTTTAACTGAATTAAAGCTTTTAATTTGTAAAACACACCACCTTATTTTAGCCAGCAGAGGGTCCTCTTTTACAATACAAGTTCTGCATTTCTAATTGACCCTTTTAATTGGCTTCCAGTGTCTATGACTTCATCAGCTTCTTAGTAACTGGTTAATCCTTAAAAACTTAAAAGCACACAATTTATGGAAGACCCATCTGAGCTTCTTAATGAACAGGTGTGCATGATTGATTACTTTGCTTTCTTAAACCTTTTGGAACATCTCCCAACATTCTGCTTGACAATTTCAAACACAATTCCTTAACACTTAACTAGTTTTCTCTTTTTCAATAAACATACAAAAACATTTTATCCATAAGCTTTCATTCTCAGCTATAAACATTCAGAGATATTTACTCTTTTAACAATTATTCTTTACTATAAAAGCACCTTAAAAATTTAAGCTTATTTTCCATAGAAAATACAATTGAATGTTATTTACACTTATTAATTTTGGCATCCTTTTAACTTTGCTTGTGGATCCTTGCCAGATCAATTTTAAAAACATCTTGACCAATATGTCTCTAATTCCTGTGGAACAAAGGATGGAACATCCGTCTCTTAACTGACAATTAATTACTGGTGCCTTTACACCAGTCCAGTTCATATAAATGTCTAAACAAACCAACAGAGTTTAGTCCTCTTTAAAACAGGTTGAAAAGGCAAACAGATCTATATATATATATAGATATATAGATGCTGGGAAAGATTGAAGGTCAAAGAAGACGGGGACGGCAAAGGATGAGATGGTTAGACATTGTCATAGATGCAATGAACATGAAATTGAGCAAACTTCAGAGGATGGTGGAAGACAGGAAGGCCTGGCGGGATCTGGTCCATGGGATCGCGAAGAGTCGGACTCAACTGTGCGACTGAACAACAACAACAAAAGATATATAGATATTGCTTATAGACTCTAATAGTTCAACATTAATATGTTAGAGTATCGCAAACTCAAAGAAACAGAAGCCTCTTTGATGTTTCCTCATTTAAAATTACTGAAAATCAGAAGCTGAAATAACCTTCTGAACTCATTCTCTGAAGTAGGGAGGTTCTCATAAATCTTAAAGTTTTACAGTTCATCCCAATTAAAAGAGCTGATGCAAAAACACCTGTTCATTAAAACTCAAATACTCATAGTTGCGGAAACCCTCCCTTGTCAATTAAAAATGAATTAAACCACCTGTCTTTATAAAGCTGTTTAGTGGCTAACAGTTGTTAATTCTCCAGGAAAGTCCCAGATAATTTCTCCCAAAGGTTTCTGTAAATCAGCAATAATCAATAGACAATCATTTGAACCCTTCAATTGTCCTCTACACTAGCATTGGTCCCATTCCCATTTATCAATTTTTATACATTTTCACGTTTGGGTTATAGTTGGGGCTAATTGTACCCTCTATGTATACACACAGTTAAAGCAAGAGAATCTACTCCTAATGAGAGTCTATATTGCAAGTCTAATAGTCAGACTCAGAACACTATGTTGCCATCTGGTTACCATTGCTAGAGACAAAAATCCAGGCAGTAAGGCTAGAGACAAAAATCCAGGCACAACTTGCCTTGCAGCTACTAAAAGATTAGAAAAAGATGCATTTCTAAAAAAACCTCTCTTTTCACCTTAACAGGCATCCAGAAATGCAGAAGAGAACCTATTGACTGCCTTCTCTCTTCCAAACACATCCAGTACTCCAGGTTGGATACTTGACTCCTTTTATCACACAATGGCCAAACATGACACACAGAGAATACTATGGTGTGGAACAGTTTATAGGCACAAATTTCAGGGTGGTTTTTTTTTTTAAGGCATAGTGGCTTTTGGGTCTGCTGTACATCTGTAGTTTCAATGACTTGAAAGGAATATAGGAAATGCTAACATGTATAATTTCTTACAACAAAAACAATTCCTACCCGTTCAGAGAAATCATGGGTCAAATAAACCAGGAATGACACTGTGTATCTAGGATTGTGGCACATCCCACTCCACAGAAAACTTTCATAGCAGCCATATTATTTACTTCTTTCCAATAGGGTTGTCAGATCCAAGTTGAGAAGCTCCTGGATATTTGGGGATGGAGCCTGGGGAGGAGACGGACCTCAGTGGGGCACAATGTCACAGAGTCCACCCTCCAAAACATCCGTTTTCTCCAGGGGAACTGACTGCTGTAGTCTGGAGATGAGCTGTAATTTGGTGGGGTTCCCAGGTCCTGCCTGGAGGCTGGTCTCCCTGTGTCCCAACTTGGTAGGAAAAATATAAGGAAAAATTAACCATGCAACTTTTCACTTCTAAGGTTGCCAGATCCAGGAAATTCCTGAAGATTTGGGGATGGAGTCTGGGGGGGGGGGTTAACTGGGAGGGCAACAGTGGGAGGGCTTCCAGCAGTGTCCCCTCGAAGCTAAATTAATGTGAGCCAGCTCACAATTTTTTTAGCCTCCGGCTCACACATTTTTGTCTCAGCTCAGGAAGGACAGCTCCAAAGCAAATTAATTTATGCAGCAGCCAAATCACTCACTCACAACTTTGATGCCAGTAACTCACAAAGGAGAATTTTTGCTCCCAAGACTTAGACAGAGGCCGGCATCCCTAACAGGAACTGCAGCTATAATACCCCTGACTGGTAGGTGTCCAATCAGTACTTAACCCCCAAATAAAATCTCATAAAAAAGGCTATGTATTCCCATATTTTTTGAAAGTGCCACAGGAAGTGGTGGCAGCTACAAGCATGGACAGCTTCAAAAGGGAATTAGATAAGCCTATGGAGCAGAGGTCCATCAGTGGCTATTAGCCACAAGTATAGATAGGGACTCTTGGGCTGGGGCAAGGGATGCTCTGTATTCTTGGTGCCTGGGGGTGGGGCCAACAGTGGGGGGGCTTCTGGTGTCCTGGCCCCACTGGTGGACCTCCTGATGGCACCTGGTATTTTTGGCCACTGTGTGACAGAGTGTTGGACAGGATGGGCCATTGGCCTGATGCAACATTGGCTTCTCTTATGTTCTTGTCATACTGTCTGTTCTCTAAAGCAGCTATTTTCTCCAGGGGAATCGTCTGCAGTAGACTTTGAACATCTGTTGTAAGTCTGGGAGATCTCCAGACCCCACCTGGATGCTAGCAGCTCTTATCTCACTAAAACTTCCAATATATTAGTGTAAGGCCTAGTAGGAATTTTTGGTGGGGGGGAGGTAATTCCAACTAATGTTTTATGGCTCTAGATACATACACCCTATGTTTACTGAAGAATAACTTCCATGAAGATCAATGATGCTTCAAAAAAGAGGGTCACCTGGAAACTGAATTAGTATACAAAGGTCCCGTTCACACTAGGCGATTTGGGCCGGGAGCGGGACAGTTCGGGGGCGGACCAAACCGGCGCGATCACAACACAACATCTGGGAAGCGTCGAGCTTCCATCCTCGAACTGGCCCTTCCCCGCACAAATCCGCCTCAAGTTGAAACCACCTACCTTGGTGGTTCAACGGGAAGCCGCGCTACAAACCGGGCATTTGATCGCCGCCGCGTCCTTGCGCCGGCACAACCCCGGCCCATAGCCGAACTGCGCATGCTCCGACATGCGCAGTTCGGCCAGCTCCCGGTCAGAGCCGTGTTTTCTCCCCGGCGTTTGATCGTGCCGGGGAGAAAAGGCGCCGCGGCCAGGGGATCAGTGGGATCCCGCCGCGGCGTCTCAATGTTGGCGCGGCTTTTAAAAGCCGTGCCTTTAGAGGCTTTTCCCCTGCCATGTGGCAGGGGCCAAAGACAAGGATCAGTAACATTATTTCCAGTGGAAGAAAGTAGCAAATAGTCACTTACCATAGAAAGGTAGACATAGCTAGCAAAGAGCTCCAAATTGACCAGCTGGCTCACAGCAGCCTCACACTCAGGATGGAAGTTCTGGCTCACCTGGAATGTCATTCCTGCACTCTAAACAAAACTTCTATCAAGAGTTCTTCAGCTACTGCTATGGAGAAACCTGAGGACCAGGTGGTATAAATACAGCTTAGAAGCAGGCAAGTATGTGATGAGCAGCTGTGCCATCCAATAGGAATGCCCTTCTTCATCAACCCACCAATCAGCTCTAGGGGGCGAGAGATGACTCAGCAAAATGAGCTTTGCTGAGCAAGGCTAGCAGCAGCGGATAAGAACCAACTCCGAAAAAGCACCAACGTATCGAAATAAATGTTTATACAAATATATATATATAATTTTCCATTATTTAATCATTTTGTCTCAGTCTTTTGCTATAATATTTCAAATCTTGTATCAAAGTCTCATTAGTACTAGTCTTATCAATGTTTTGTATACAATAATAATATTGCCACAATATAAGCCCCAGACACTATTAGAGTGTCAACAGTTGGAACAAATCCCTATACCATCATAAATTGTGGTTACAGGATAACACAATATAATTAGTCCATAAATTACTCTCAGCAAGGTAATCATTCAAGGAATCTTTGAAACAGTTCACAAGCTTCCAGTTGTGCAATGCAATCATATATCTCTAGTATACAAGTACAGATATGTTCCTTTGGTGTTCAAAGATGGAATTTTCCAGAATGTTTCTCCTTTACTGGGACCTTCCTCAGTCAAGAGGGAATTGAATATTGCATACTTTCTTAGAATTGCCAATTCCTAAGGATAAGAATCATACAGAAATGCCATTCATAGGGGACAAACAGAAAGTCTCCACAATCACTTAAGGAATTACAATATTTCTTGTAGGACGCGATTCTTGTCAAGGACATGTCAGCTTCAGTGTTTCCTCTAAGGTAAGGTAAAGGTTTCCCTTGCTCGAAAGCCAGTCGAGACCGACTCTAGGGTTGCGGTGCTCATCTCCGTTTCAAAGCCGAAGAGCCAGCGCTGTCCGAAGACGTTTCCGGGGTCATGTGACTGGCATGACTAAACACCGAGGCGCACGGAACGCTGTTACCTTCCCACCGAAGTGGTCCCTATTTATCTACTTGCAATTTCTTGCTTTCGAACTGCTAGGTTGGCAGGAGCTGGAACTAGAGACGGGAGCTCACTCCGTCATGCGGCAACCCGGGTCTCGAACCGCTGAACTACTGACCTTCCACAGCCTGCAGTTCAGCATCTTAACCACTTGAGCCACCGCAGCTCCTTTCCCTCTAAGGTAGCTCACAGTTTTTTAGCCTTTGGCTCGCACAGGTTTTTGTCTTCGCTCAGGAAGGGTGGCCCCAGAGCAAGCTAATTTACGCAGGAGCCAAATCGCTCGCTCACAACTTTAATGCCAGTAGCTCACAAAGTAGAATTTTTGCTCACAGGACTCCACAGTTTAGAGGGAGCATCTGGCTTCTGGAGACTTTCTGTTTGTACCTTTTGAACTGGTGTTTCTGGGTGCGTTCAAACGAGCAGCTAATCCCGCCATTATGCCAGTTTGAATTTGATCCCAATCTTCTTAATCCATCATAGCACGGCCAGACAACCCCCTGGTGAATCGCCTTACCGCGCGTTGCCTCCATTGTGGATTGTCTAGATGGCGTCCACTGAAGGAGGTGTGCGCAGTGGGTTTTTTAAAAAAAATTGTCCATGTGCATAGGCATCACAGCGCGTCCTTGTTGAAGGAGGCACGCAGTGGGGTTTTTAAAAGAAAACTTTCTGCACATGCACATAGACATGACAGCGTGTCCTTGTTGATCTGCGCATGTGTAGAGATTTTTTAAAATGGCACCCACTCAGGATGTTCTGACATCAGACCACCCCGACTGGAGGATTGTGCGCTGGTTGAATGATCAGACGGGTGAAAGTCCGCAGTTGTCCCGCAGGTAACCGAAAACCCCAGATTTAAAGTGGTATCTTTTAAGTACGGCTCCGAAGCGCAGCAAAATGGGATGCCCACGGAGGAGGGACGTTTCCCAGAGGTTTGTGTCTGGACATTACCTTTAGATCTGTGAGGCAATCATGCCTCGCGTGGATCTAAAGAGCCGCCTGAACGGACCCTCTGTATGATTTCTATTCTTAGGAGTCATTTATGGGCTAATAGTATTGTATTATCTCGTAACCACAATTTATGATGGTATAGGAATTTGTTCCAATTGTTGATGCTACAGTGTTATTCTGAAGGCTTTGTTTTTAGAACAGTATTTTTGATTTGTAAACTGTTGATGCTATAATAGAGAGTGCACACTGTGGCAATATTATTATTGTATACAAAACATTAATAAGACTTTGATACCAATGAGAGTTTGATACAACTTTTGAAATATTACAGCAAAAGACTGAGACAAAATTATACTGGAAAATTATAAATATTCGTGTAAATTTACTTAGATTTTGCTGGTGCATTTTCTGAGTTGGTCCTTCTCACTAGTTCTGTATTATTCAACTAGGATCCTCTTTATTGCTAGCGGCAACTGATAGTGATCAGGTGGACTCAGCCTGACTGGCTTTATTTGTTCTTTTGTTTTTTTTCATGAGAGACTGCTTTTTTCACAGAACGTACTATTCCAATTTCTCTCAGACGCAAGCGTCTGCAAGTCGTATACCGACACAAAACCAAGTTTTTGTTTAGGGTTGCTAACCACTTGGAGGAAAAACATCCTGCCCCTTTAATAGAGGTTTAATGGGTTGTTATTTACCAGGTGGTCTGATTTACCTCATGGCCAGTGTTCCCTCTAAGCTGAGTTAGTGTGAGCTAGCTCACAGTATTTTAGCCTCCGGCTCACACATGTTTATCTTAGCTCGGGAAGGATGGGGCTCCAGAGCAAACTAATTTGTGCGGCAGCCAAATCGCTCTCTCACAACTTAAATGGGGTTAGCTCACAAAGTAGAGTTTTTGCTCACAAGACTCCACAGCTTAGAGGGAGCATTGCTCATGGCCATGAAAAAGTTCAACTGAGCTGCCCGTTTCCACACACTCAGCCTCTATTAAAGGCACAAGATGCTCCCCCCCAACTCCAGGTTGTTGGCAACTAAATGTAGAGTTGCCAACAATCTGAAGAAAAAGGTGCCTGTCTTTTGAACAGAGGCTTATTCATTTACTTTATTTATAGCCCACCGTTCTCTCCGGTGGGGACCGAAAAGGGCTTACACCATTTCCCCTTTTGTGCTGACTTGGCTGGGAGCCACCGAGGCGATAAGCTAGAAGCTGAAGAGACCAGCCAGAATCGAGGTCAGTGAGAAAGCGAAAGGTTTGATAGCCAGGAAGTCGTTTCTAGAATGCAGATTTCCCGAGGCCAGGTGCGTCTGCTGCACACTCAGAAGCAGGTCTAATTTTGCGGAGTTGTTGCCACGCTGGAGCAGGTGCACTTCAACCATTAAACCACACTGGCTCGTGGGTGTGTAAAGGAACACTAAGTCGCAGCTGGCTTTGGGGACCCCGTAGGGTTTTGGAGACAAGAGATATACAGAGGTGGTTTGCCATCGCCTGCCTCTGCACAGTGACCCTGGGATTCATTGGCAGTCTCCCATCCAAAAACTAACCGGGTCTGACCCTGCTTAGCTTCTGAGATTTGATGAGATCGAGCTCGCCTGGGCCATCTAGGTCAGGGCCACACTGGCTGATTGTGTGGAAGTGGACAGATGAAGCTTTTTATGGCCTTGGGGGTAAGGAAGGTCACCTTAGATCACATCCCATGAAGCCTCCATTCAAGGCAGAGTGGAAGTGAGGGTCCACCCATCAGGCCCTACCCCTGGCCGCCAATCAGTGGGTCAGCGGGGGGGGGGGGGTACTTACCAGGAGAGAGGAGAAGGCCTAGGCCTCATTGCTGGTGTTTCAAAGGAAGTGACATCGTCGTGCTAGTGAAGTCTGGGTGATGCTCTGGTATTTGGGCAAAAACTCTACGGTAGAAGCCACAGAGGTTTTGTCCCAATATCAGAATGCCGCCCGGATGTTGCTGGTGTGATGATGTAGCTTCCTTTGAGACACTGGCAACAGGGATGTCAGACCTCCCTGCTGGGGGCGGAGGTCCCCCACTTTCAGGCCCAACCTCTCCGCCACTGGCCAGCTGGCCAGCGGAGGGAATTACCTCCCAAACAGGGAAGAATGCAGACATTAAATGTGATGTGCCTATCTGACCCAGAAGTGACGTAGGCACGTCAGGGGTGTTGGGTGTGATGCTCTGGTTTTTGGACAAAACTCTGTGGTAGATGCTAATTCTACCATAGAGTTTTGCCTAGAAACCAGAACATCACTCCCCCTGTCCCTGATATGCCTACATCACTTCCGGGTCACGTAAGCATGTCATGTTTATTTTTGGCATTCCTTCCAGCTCCCAGTAAGTTCACACACACACCCCGTCCCCTGCCGGCAGATCCGAGGGATCTGGCAACCCTAACTGGCAAGGTGGCCTCGGTCTTTCTCTTTCTCCTCCTAGGCCCCCTCCCGTCCCTGGCCGGTTGTCAAGAGAGACCAGGAAACCCTAATTCAAGGAATAGGATAATTTTCCTCCAGGTTCCTCCAGATCCTAGAAATGGAAGCAAAATGTGTTTTCTGTCATCTTTCTAGGGGTATATGGGGAAAAGAGTATAATTATCCATTGATTAGATTTGAGGCCCGCTTTTTGACTGACGTTCCCCACTCCCAACCTTTAGAAAATACCCTCGATTCCATTTAGAAAAGAAATGGGGGGGGGGGAAAAACACCTTTTCAATGTAATTTAAAACCACAGAATAAAGGAACCCCTAGAGAGAGAGAAAAAAGAACGGGCAGGGAGAGAAACTGATGCGAAAAGCAGGATGTTAAACTGTGGAACTTTGAAAATAAAATGAACCCCCTTCAATGGCAGAATCTAAGCGAAAGGAAACTATCTCCCTCAGAGGGAGAAGGTTTTGTTCCTGCGAATAGAGGGGAGAGGCAGAACAAGTCATGTTGACCCAGGCTTGTGATGGGATTTTTGCCTGATGCCTGCCCACACCATTCCATATACTCAGTGGTAGGGATTGTGTTGCCATCCTCC